GGAATGTAGATTCAATAATAAATTACTATAACAGTATATGATTGTGAAATTTATCACTGTGTAAAAATGCATATATTATTGAACTGTTTAGTCATTATTAATAACATAAAGAAATTAATCTTTCATTTTCTCTTGTCTCCATTTTTTCAACTTCTTACTATTAACGATTAAGATTTAATCAACAAACACTAGGTCTTAACCATATGGTTAGGATAATCTTCTGTTTTTTTATTTTTTAAATCATGGCCTAGTTATAACCAATGTTACATAATTTAACAGTGAAGATGGACACAAGATAAAACTTTGTAGTTTAGCCTGATGGCAAAAAACGTCATAAATAATCTCTAGTAATTTACAATTGCTAGGTTTAAAAGGTCATCAAACAATAAGATACTAGAAGTAACATTTTCTCTCTCAAGAACTTCACTTTCTGGGAACAAAGTTTGTGGCAAAGGCCCAAGCGTTGTTGTTAACTGGGTCAGCAAGGTGGTCGGCAAGGTTCTCCAATGGACCCTTTCCAGTGACGATAGCTTGAACAAAGAATCCAAACATGGAGAACATAGCAAGTCTACCGTTCTTGATTTCCTTTACCTTGAGCTCAGCAAAAGCCTCTGGGTCATCAGCAAGGCCCAATGGGTCGAAGCTACCACCAGGGTAAAGTGGGTCAACAACCTCACCAAGAGGCCCACCAGCAATACGGTAACCCTCAACGGCTCCCATCAACACAACTTGGCAAGCCCAGATAGCCAAGATGCTTTGTGCATGGACCAAGCTTGGGTTGCCCAAGTAGTCAAGTCCACCTTCGCTAAAAATTTGAGATCCAGCTTTGAACCATACAGCTTCACCGAACTTGACACCATTACGGGCCAAAAGCTCAGGGAAAACACATCCAAGAGCACCAAGCATGGCCCATCTGCAGTGGATCACCTCCAATTCACGATTCTTAGAGAATGTTTCAGGGTCAGCTGAAAGTCCAGCAGTGTCCCATCCGTAGTCACCGGGAAACTCACCAGTCAAGTAGCTTGGGGCTTCCCCAGAAAATGGGCCCAAGTACTTAACACGGTCAGGACCATACCATGGGCTACCAAAGGAGGCAGGCTTGGCCTTGGCAGCACTCTTCCTCATGGTGACTCTCCCATTTCCGGTGATTTCAGAAGAAGATGGTGAGAGTTTCACCGTCTTTCCGGCAAAGGTAGAGGAAGAAAGAGCCATTGTAGAAGCAGCCATTATAAAAGTAGAATGGAAACTCTTAGAATGTACAAAAAGAAGAGTTGATTTGAGGCTTGAGTTTCTTGGGCCTTGCACCAAGTGTATATAAATGACTCCACAGGCCCAATACCCTTATCCTTGAATATCTATATCTCTCTCTCATTGGTGGGTGACAATTTGTAACATTTTGCATACTTGTCCATTTGGCAAAGTTCATTAAACATGACTAGATTTTTTTAGATACTTTACATATTTAAAAAATCTAACCCAATGAAGATTTTCTCTATTACATCCAATCAATAGTTGCCACGTGTGAGTGTTGATTATTGCAATAAAATATCCACTTTGTTCAAACACTTAAATTTATTTGGCTGTCATATGAAATAGGACCACTTTTATATGTGGCAAATTGACAATGAGACAAAATAAGAAAAAAAATTGAAATTAAGGTAATGCAAGTTCAAGTGTCCCAACAGCTAATTAAGCTTTGATTTTTGTGTGAGATACTAGAGGTAAGTTAAACAAAGATGGTAAGAAATTTTGCTAAATTTCTTTAACAATTAAACGATATGTATAAATTGTCATTAATTCGACAGAACTTATGAACAATTTTACTAAAGTTATGCTTGTGTCCATCATAACTTGTGATAAGACAAGTTTTGCTTATGAATTTGTCAATAATTTGTATTAAAGTTACTACTAGTATGACATATCTTGTGAAAGCTTAAATTTTCATTCTTACGCCGGGCATAACTCTTGTGAAAAAAGTGATGACCCGCTTGTGAAAGTTATGACCTTGAAGGTTATTTTGTTTATTCATAGAACTTGTGATAATTTATTTCAAAGTTTTGACATGTCTGTCGTTCATAGGACGATCAATACTCTAATAGTCAATTAGAAAAATGGAGAATAATAAGAAAATTAAACGCATGTAATTGTTTTTTTTTCATGGAGTTAAATTAAGAGGAAACTTTAGTATACTTTAAAGCCATATACTAAGGTTAATTAAGTGGATAGAATAGTGGGATTACACTGGGTATGTTGTTGTTTGTACAAGAACAAATTACATATTAGAAGTAGTCATGAACATCATTTATCAAGAATATTGTACGAAAAGTTATGGATATGTACCATTCTGCTAATTTACCAACATGAATGAAATATACACCATGTATATAACAATAGTGTATATGTACATTATAAGTGTAATATATGTATATTTAGTATAAAATATAAACAACCACCTATTCACTTTGTACATTTTTTTGTAAACTGGTTGGCCAAAGTGTTGGGTAACTGTAACATTCCTTAAAACATACTTCTTAATATTTGTTTCATTTTTATTGCTTAGAATATCCAACACTGAACAGTTAGAAACTTTATCATTTTATGCATTTTAAAAACCTCTATTCTATAGTGCACTTGTATATTATTAATAATCAAATCATTTTAAGAAACTAAGTTGTATATATTGTTGTTATAAACAAAAAATTTATACTATAAGGTCATCTAACGATATTTACAAGTAAACTTCTTTAGAATAATATGGAATTTGTAATTTAAGTTTATGTGCTACAAAAAGATAAATATGAAAAGATTCACATGTTTTTCATTAATCCAAACCAATTTACACCACATTTAGTGCATTACAATCTCTTTACTGAACCCATAACCCAGAATGCTTAAAAATTTGACCCCTTCTATAGATTCATCACTCAAGACCTAAAAACTCATCTCACACTACTTGAAGATTAGAGATCTATTTTTGTTACACTTATTTTCCGGGAACGAAGTTTGTGGCAAAGGCCCAGGCGTTGTTGTTAACTGGGTCGGCAAGGTGGTCAGCAAGGTTCTCCAATGGACCCTTTCCGGTGACAATAGCTTGGACAAAGAATCCAAACATGGAGAACATAGCAAGTCTTCCGTTCTTGATTTCCTTAACCTTGAGCTCAGCAAAAGCCTCTGGGTCGTCAGCAAGGCCCAATGGGTCAAAGCTACCACCAGGGTAAAGTGGGTCAACAACCTCACCAAGAGGCCCACCAGCAATACGGTAACCTTCAACGGCTCCCATCAACACAACTTGGCAAGCCCAGATAGCCAAGATGCTTTGTGCATGGACCAAGCTTGGGTTGCCCAAGTAGTCAAGTCCACCCTCGCTGAAAATTTGGGATCCAGCCTTGAACCATATAGCTTCGCCAAACTTGACACCGTTACGGGCCAAAAGCTCAGGAAAGACACATCCAAGAGCTCCAAGCATGGCCCATCTGCAGTGGATCACCTCCAATTCACGATTTTTGGCGAATGTTTCAGGGTCGGCTGAAAGTCCAGCAGTGTCCCATCCGTAGTCACCAGGGAACTCACCAGTCAAGTAGCTTGGGGCTTCACCAGAGAATGGGCCCAAGTACTTAACACGGTCAGGACCGTACCATGGGCTACCAGAGGAGGCAGGCTTGGCCTTGGCAGCAGTCTTCCTCATGGTGATTCTCCCATTTCCGGTGATTTCAGAAGAAGATGGTGAGAGTTTCACCGCCTTTCCTACAAAGGTAGAGGAGGAAAGAGCCATTGTTGAAGCAGCCATTGTAAAAAGTAAAATGAAAAACTTTTTGAATGTACAAAAAGAAGAGTTGATCAGAGGTTTGAGTTTCTTGGGCCTTGCACCAACTGTATATAAATTAGAAATAGACTCCTTAGGCCCAATATATCATTATCCCTGAATATCTATATCTGATTTTTCATTGGTGGATGCAATATCTAACCTTTTGGTGTTATTGTCCATTTGGCAAAGCTCAACACCATTAAAGATGACTAGATATTTTTTAGATACATTATGTATACAAAAATCTAACACATTTTAGATTTCCTTTCTTACAACCAATCCAGAGTTGCCATGTGTGATTGTGGATTACTTCAATGTAATATCCACTTGACCTAAAACATAAGAGTAACTAATGGCCATGCAATAGTTCACACACTTGTGTGTAAAATAGGGCCACTTTGAATGAGTGGCAAATTGACAATGAGACAATAATGTTTGAATTTAATTCACATATTGTATAGGCTCTTCGTGAAGATGTATGGAGGTGGGGGGAAAGTGGAAAATTAAATTTTCATTCATGTATATTCAAATTAGCAATAGTAACAAGAATTAAATAAAAAGGACTGATTAATTTTGTATCCTTCATTTTCACAAAAAAAAAAACTCATAGAAAAGGTCATGTCATATTTCAGTATAAACTTTATATATTTTTATTAAATAAATTGACTTTATATACGCCATATGATTTTCCAACTATGGAGCCTGAATAAATCTCTTCCGCTCTTAACTCTGTCTATAAACAGTTGTGGGGCGACAAATTTATACAAAAGAAAACAAAATATGTAATATTAGAATATAACACCTAAGATGTGAACTGAGTTTTAAATTTACGACCTCACTCAATTTTTTTTTGTATCAAGAGAGTTCAACAATTTATATATATAAAAAAAAATACTTTATTTATATAATATTTCGTATAATCTCTCAATGAATGAGATTCAATTGAACCCTTTTAATTTCCTCTACTTAGCTTCAGAAAATTTATAAGTTTTAGAATTAATTGTTCAGTTTTTCAGAGTAACACTTAGATGAAAAATATCAATGGAACACCTAGACTAAAGAATCTTACTTGACAGCATATAGGACAAGTTTGCAATATTCATAACCACATATTTGTTGGACCCCATTAGTAAAAATATCTTGAAATATTGATGGATTATAAAATGCCAAGTGGCTAATAAAATCTTGAAAACCAATGAAATTGTAGATAGAGATATCATAAGATAAGAACCAACCATATTCCCTCCCTCCTATATATAAGTGTTATTAATCACAATTGAACATAAATCATCACACAACAACCATCAAAATACACTTCATTTCTTTTTATTAATATTAAATCATGGCTGCTTCATCCATGGCTCTTTCTTCCTCTACTTTCGCCGGTAAGGCGGTAAAACTCTCACCATCTTCTTCTGAAATCACCGGAAATGGGAGAATTACCATGAGGAAGAGTGTTGCCAAGGCCAAGCCTGCCTCCTCTGGTAGCCCATGGTATGGTCCTGACCGTGTTAAGTACTTGGGCCCATTCTCTGGTGAAGCCCCAAGCTACTTGACTGGTGAGTTTCCTGGTGACTACGGATGGGGACACTGCTGGACTTTCAGCTGACCCTGAAACATTCGCTAAGAACCGTGAGCTTGAGGTGATCCACTGCAGATGGGCCATGCTTGGTGCTCTTGGATGTGTTTTCCCTGAGCTTTTGGCCCGTAACGGTGTCAAGTTTGGCGAAGCTGTATGGTTCAAGGCTGGATCCCAAATTTTCAGTGAGGGTGGACTTGACTACTTGGGCAACCCAAGTTTGGTCCATGCACAAAGCATCTTGGCTATCTGGGCTTGCCAAGTTGTGTTGATGGGAGCCGTTGAGGGTTACCGTATTGCTGGTGGACCTCTTGGTGAGGTTGTTGACCCACTTTACCCTGGTGGTAGCTTTGACCCATTGGGCCTTGCTGATGACCCAGAGGCTTTTGCTGAGCTCAAGGTTAAGGAAATCAAGAATGGCAGACTTGCTATGTTCTCCATGTTTGGATTCTTTGTCCAAGCTATTGTCACCGGAAAGGGTCCATTGGAGAACCTTGCCGACCACCTTGCTGACCCAGTTAACAACAACGCTTGGGCCTTTGCCACAAACTTTGTTCCCGGAAAGTGAGCTTAACAAAATGTTGATCTCTAATCTCCAGTTAGTGGAGATTATGAGTTTTTAGCTTTGTGAGAGATGAATCTATAGAAGGGGTCAGTTTTTTAAAAGCATTCTGGGTTATGGGTTCAGTACAAGATTATTGTAATGTGGTGTAAATTGGTTTGGATTAATTAATGAAGAACAAGTTAATCTTTTCATATATATTTTTTCTTGCACAAGCAATTTTTAATATCATAGTTACAATTTTCATCTTAAATATATCTCTGTAAGTTATATACATCGATATAAACAAATTTTAAAAAATGCATCATAAATGGAATTCAACCTATGATAACAGGTTAATTATGTTTTCCCTTAAAAAACTTGAACTCCTAACTAGACGAATTCAAAATTTAAAATGTTCTATTAGTAATTTCTTAACACTAAACTCATTTGTAAAATTAAAATCATTATAAATTTTAAAAATATACCTACTTTGTATCGAAAATTATCAGTTCAAATAAACCCGCAGCCAAGAAGCGAAAAACGCCTCTGTTTTTGACAGATTTGGTAAGTAGTATATGCACAAAATTAGTATCACCACATGAAACTTACCAATATTTCAAAACATTATGTGAGAGACTGGTCATGAAAGTAGAAAGTGGGATTGTAATGCAATAGATTACTATTGGGAAACATAACACTAATAACTATAGATTAAGAACGACGAAAAGGAGGGTTAACCATGTTAAACAAAGAAAACACAGACGAGACGCCTAGAGCACTGTGTTAGCTCAGACATTACCTACGTTACATTTAACTCTGAGATAAAACACGTAAAAGTACAGACTCATGGCACAGGGCAGCAGCCAGTCAAGTTTCTTCAGGGATCGTGAACGAGGGTTATTTCAACAGAAATAGCTCGAAAGGCCACTTTCACACTCATTACAAGACCCCAAAAAAAGAAAAGAAAAGAAGAACAAGGGAGGCAGTAAGATTTAGTAGCCGTTTTGCCACAACTGTTGTTGAGACTGCTTTGGCTGGCCTTGTGAACCAGACAATGATCCATCTCGAAGGTTTTGTTGCTGTTGTTGGTCCAACGAGATACCAGCCTGAGAATTGTAGAAATGAGGGTATCCCCCCAAAGATCCATAGCTCTGTGATGGCTGTTGGCCTTGCCTAAATCCGCCTGTTTGCTGATTCTGTCCCTGAAAGCCATAATACGTGTTGGCGGGAACAGCTGACATTGTTCTTGAACCAGGTCCATGAAGCCACAAAGCTGAGTTCTCATTCTGAAAGAGGACGGAAACAGGAGTGTCAAATAAAGCAAAGGGCATGCCAGATAAAGTCCATGACAAATTGAAATTACAGAGCATTTCTAATGTGCTGTGCCAACCACCAAGGTGGAGATTGATAAATGCAATTGACCAAACAAAAACAGAAGCTAGAGGCGTCAAATGGGGTGAATAGGCTAAAAAGTGGATCATGACCCGTCCAAAAATTACTTGCGCTGAAATGGAATTAAAAGTGAATGGTTTTATATAACATAACCAAAAAAAAAAATGTATTTTTGAAAATATTTTTGACACAGTTTCTATCGATCAATTTGGGAAACATATCAGCCCAATTTGTAGATTGGCTGAAACGGGTGGAACTAAAATGGGCTGAACTAATAAATGGAGAACGGATTGAGGGGATCATGTTCAAATGGGATGATTTTGCTACCCCCGAGGCCCTGACAGTAGCTATTAAAATGGTCATTTCACATTATGATGAGTCATGACAAGCAATTTCTTGGAGAGAGAGTTCAGTAGGAATACTTGTGCTCACAAAAAGAACAGGTTACCTGCTGAAGAGACATCAAATGATTGGTATCCTTGAACTGAGCACTTAATACATCATCGTAACTTAAGTTAGTACCAGATGGAGCAGCAGGAGGGTTGATTGGGAAGTTCCCGGGGATATTTGTTGTATTTCCAAAAGCACCATATCCAGAAGGAATAGCGGCAGACTGAGGCAAGCTGCTGGCAGAAACGGTATTCTTATATTGGGGGAGCATTGCTGCAAGCGACTGATGGTAACTGCTATTACCAGGATATGCTTGTTGGAATGCAGATGGCATATATGAATAGTTCTGATGCACAAAGGGATAACTAATCATGTTGCCAAATGGTGCAATAGGAACAGCTTGTTGAGAATATTGGTGTACAGTTAGATGTTGTGGTACGCCAGGTCCTGTGGCGACACTATTTCCAGAAAGCATCTGCTGAGTAGGCTGTGCTGATGAAAAGTCAACCGTCTTCATAGCCTGCAGGAAACACTAACACTGTCAACTATTACAACGACGACATACCTAGTGTAATCCAACAAGTGGAGTCTGGGGAAGATAGAGTGTACGCAGACCTTACCCCTATCTTGTAGAACTAGTAGAGATAGAGAGGTTGCTTCCGATAGACCCTCGGCTTAAACAAGGCATTCCAAACAGTTTGAAAAGGGGGAGATGCAGATATGGGGGGCAATAACAACAACAAAATAATGAGCACTTGAGTGCATTACACAAAAGATAGAAGAGGACACAGTCAACCATTACACCATAAAAACAAGAGAAGGGAGAAAAATTATTGCACCAACTTTGAAAGGGGGAAAATAGGATGTATAATGCTTTCCCCGTCTCAAGTCACCAATTCATATTACATAGAGTTGTGATAGACAGCACACTGGCCAGAATATGAATCACCGATCAAACTAAAGCAACACGTCACTTAGAGGAACCACATTTAAGATATGTGTGAACTGTGATCAATATTTGTATAAAATGTTGAACCTTTTAACCACTTAAACCTATAACTTTATTTGCTTTTGGGACGATCAGAACAATCCAAACGAAAAGCTTCATTCAGAAAACAAAAGTGTACTTCTGAGTACCTGACTTAATACTTACGAGAATGTTAAAAACCAACTCCAGCCTCGTTTAACTAAATAACACTGCGCTTCTCTCTTCCCTCCTTCCACCAGTTATACTTGATTGCCACGAATTTAGCATTCAAAATACTCCAAGAAAAGCCATGACCAATAACTCTTTCAGGGAAAGTCGGAAAGAGGGTGTTTGTTGCAGATACGATTTTGTTCAAGAATGAATATTGACATGCACTAGAGGGGAATTTCAAAATACACAATGTATGTTGGGACTTTAAGAGATAACAAATTCCAACAATTTATTTCATCACTTCATTTATTTTATTAAAGTTAATTTTATAACTTCATAAATATTCCCTCTTTTTTTTTTATGACAAGGGAAACCCGCAGCCGCTACGCGCACAGGGTAAAAACCCCGCTCCTATGCAATAACTCGCAAACCACATAGGAGAGGTAACCCGCACTAGGCAAGCCTGGTGCGACGAGCTCGACCCAGAAAACAAACCTCTTGCTTTCGCTGGCAAGAGGTTTCGAACTTCAGACCTCCAACATGGAAGTCCCAAGCTCAAACCACTGGGCCACCCCGAAGGGTATAAATATTCCCTCCTTTTGTTGATACATTTTAGTTGATTGAAAAAATCAGGGGGGAAAACACTGCAAGATACCTATACTAGAAGGATATCCTTGGCTCCAAACAAAATATAGCATGACTCTAATGTGAAAAGCCTCAAGATTCATAACTTTACTCCAAAGTGTTACACATTAATCATCTTCTCGTTTATGAACAATTTACTTCATCAGGGAAAAAACAATACAACCAGCTTTTAGCTAGACCCTTACTGTTCAAACTCATCTCATCTGCCTGGAAATCAACAAGCATAATCACTTGTACATTTTAACTAAAATCAAAATGGTCAATTTTTTCCCTCATTCAATATAAAATAGTCCTAGTTAAGGTCAATATGTCTGCGGGTAAAGGTACCAACACTACAGCTGAAGCTAGGATAGAAAGATATGTGCAATATTGATTAGATTCCAGTAGAAACATTACCTCAGGCATAGAAATTGCTGAACCACTGATTGATGAAATTGAGTTGCCATATTTTGTGGGCATTGCTTGTGTTGTTGAGAAAGGAGAATATGAAAGCTCAGACTCTCGACCAGGATGAACGTTAGCAGCCAACATTTCACTCTGCAAAGAATTTGTGTAGACCTACTCGAACAAAAAATAGCAAGAGAGAAAATTAGGTAAACCATGGATATTATGCTCTAGCAAATAATGGTAACTCGGATCAGGTTGGCATGCTTCTGTAGTTTTTTTTTTAAAATAGACAAGTGGCATGCTTCTTTATTGAAGCTGTCTCCGTGTGACCTATAGGTCACGGGTTTGAGAAGTGGAAGCAACTACTAATGCTTGCATTAGGGTAGGTTGTCTACATCACACGCATTGAGTAGCGTCCCTTCCAACGTGTGATGTTTTGAACACCAGGCTACCCTTTTTTTCCATGCTTCTTTGTTGTTGGGGCATTACATATGTTTAGCTACTTGGAAGTTTATTATTGGATAAGATATTATTCAAGATAAGCACCAAGCAGGCACGTACTCTTCTATACAAAGTTCGCAAATAGTTTAGCTACGCTGGACTCATAATAAAATAGGGTCAAGTGAATTAATGCTATTATATGTTAGAATGTTTCTAGGCTATAACATGAAATGTTTTTTTAAAATGGAAAAATGGATATGTTTCAAATATATGAGAAATACCATGTTATAATAAGGAATCCAGTAATTAGGAAAATCTCCATAAGCTATTTCAAGTAGCCTACACACCAACATAAGGAACCTCTTATTTGTTTCACAACCTATTCAAAAGTTCTCTATATTATTAAAAGACTAGCCAATTTGTGAAAATAGCAAAACATGCCATGTCGAGTGGCTACACAATACACACATATCTTATTAAGTTACAAGCTCGCAACCAGCATATTGTGTTGAGCACTTTAAATAGAGATTAAACAGAATTAAGCACTGCTATTACAAGCTCTTTCCCCATTAGCAAAGGAACCAAAGATATGAGAGCGTCTATGCAATAAAGAAGACTTGCAAGGACTAAAGGACTCTTTTCCTCGAAAGCTAAAGTTCAAAAGAAGTAAGCCAGTGACTAGTGAAATTTTTTCTTTTTCTTTTAATGTGCAAAAGACCTAAATGCATTACTTTGATATATATATATATAAATATAATGAAATGGTCTAAACCCGAGTAAAAGAGAAGTATTGCCTATGACTTTCAAAAGTTCTGTTTTTTCT